TCTCTCTCTCTGTCGCTGCGTCCTTTTCCTTATTTTTCATCCTGGAGCTGCGCACGCGCGTCCGCTAGCCGCATTCGGAGATTCTTCTGATCTCGCGTCTTATACACATAGGAAACATGACTCTTCTTTCTATATAAACTACTTCCTGATAGGCGATAAAACATGCCGTTTTGTCAATCGATATCATTAAACTTGTCATGTATGTAACGTTTTCCGTGTACAAAAGAAAAGAAATAAGTTAAGCGAAAAACTGGACCATGAGGGAAATTGAAAGACAGGCTAAATTTCTCGTTTGTGACGTTATTTCTTTTTTAATTTTTTAATATACAAGATATGAAATGTAACGAGCAAGAAAAGAAGAAAATTATTTTATTTTTCACGCATGTCGATAGGTGGTATTCGCTCGTATTTAAAATAAGTCTGATGATCGCGACAGATAGTATACCTAATAGATAGGATACCTAATAGAAAGGATACCTAATAGAAAGGATACTCAACGAGCTTCCTTAAGTTCCTCGTGCAACAAGTGCATTCGTACTCTCTAAGTTCGCGTTTAACGTTTATACTTGCGAAATATTACTTTCTACTTTCACATCCCAGCCTAATATATGATCTTGATGTACGCACCACAATTTTTTTTCTTTGCATCGGAAGGTCATCGGAAGTCCGCGGGAATCTCATCCAGGGATCATGCCAAACGACTTCGATGATTGTAACAAAGAAAGAGAAAAGACACATCAAGAAAGTTAGTGTGCATTCACGGAAGATATTCTATCTTTGATTTAACTGGCGATAGTGAGAGTAAATGCCGCCAAATGGCCATGTGATCGTATCGTTCTCAGATAGTCTATCTTTTTAACGTTATCCTCTTAATATTTACTCCTCTCATTTCAGTGAAATTGGCGAACTTGACGAATTAAAAGGTTGAAATCGATATGCTGCGTGCATTGATTTTACAGTTTTATCAGCCTTCTTAGCTTTCTATACGTCAGAATTATTATTTATTCATCGATTCGCATAAAAAGATATAATGATAAATTCCAAGATTTTATGAAAAATTCTATTCAAATGTACTTTGTACTTGGAAGTCATTTTGCATTTGCATTTCAAATTTTGTCTTTGCAACGAAAATTGTCTAAATCTAAAAATAGAAAAAGAGAACAAAAGTAAAAGTTTAATAGAACAAAGGAGATTTATTACTTAGAGTATTATTATTTAGAGTGGCATTTTTTCAAGTGATTTTTTTCAATTTCTTATTCGCCAAAAGTCTATATCGGGGAACGGTAATAATCAGCCAGTAAACATCATCAGATCATATTTACTACGACATTATTATTGCCGGTAATGACTAATTTAAATACAACGCACACATGAATCCTGATAAAATATAAATTTCCTATATTGTAGGTATTAAAATGTATTAATTTTATTCGTCGAAAATGAGGAAGAACATCCCGTCACATATGTTGCAACTAGAGTGCCCATTTTCAAAATCCAAAATAAGCAACAATATGAATGATCGAATAAAATTATTCGATCGAGAAACGAATGTTTTGGAGCGATAAGAAAAACAGGAAAAACTCGAGATATTTAAAAAATATATTTGAGAACAAAGTAAGCTCGTGAGGACAAACAGGACATCAACGGTTATATCAATGATAAAAATTAGTCAACGTTGTACAAATTTTTTTTTCTGATGCGCAAAATCGAGCGACATCGAACGTTGTTTTTACCAAGCGTGATATATTTTCACCAAGATTCGGGAAAACACAGAATGAGAATTATCGAATCGACGCAGTTGACTCTGCGGCTCGTCGACGTGCGAACGTATATAGATGTATATCGCGTTGCACCTTTCTACGTGGGCTAGAGTGCAGCGGATGCGGGTGGGCGGACCGGGATCCCGAGTCTACCGTCTATCGTCGGTCGTCGGTGGCGCGATCCAGACAGGCGAGGCTTACGTTGAAATGAGCATCGGTAATTAAACGAGCACCTCGTTTGACAGACTCGGCAGGAAAGCATTAAAAACAATAACGACGACGACGACGACGACGACAATTCGGCCATTCGTCACACGCTTCGTTCACGCTTTGCTCTTGCATTGCTGCTCCAAGCAGCCGAGCATTTCAAGTGTAAGTCGCAAAGATAGACAATAGTCTTCTTATACGTTATTGCGATTTGAATATTTCAAACGCTGCGACTACTTGAGAAATCTTGAAAATTAATAAAATTAAATTGATTAGCTTGGAAATCACTTCTGAATGCTCCACATTTGTAAAACAAAAGATAAATTTGAAACTTTGATCAGTAATACAGAAATCGAAGCACTAATTGGAAAATTGGATTTGGAATCAAGTTCGAATAAAACTTTTCTAATCGTCACAACAATACGGTGATACGTTGTACGTATCGTGGTAAAGCACAGAAGACTCGTGGTGCTTCGACAAGTATGTTGCAAGAGGACACCTTATACGGATCTTGAGGTTCGGTCTCAAGAGCAAAAAGAACCGTTGCGTCGTGCGGCACCGCACAACACGCGTTTGGTGAATCTTACCGACATGTATCATCGGAATACCAATCTCACGTTCGGTGTTTACCGTTTATGAGAAAATCTACTCGCTTCTTCTTAACAATTTTTCATACTACAATTTACATAATTTATACATGTGTAGAAGAATGTGAATTTATATAGAATGTGAATTTTGTGAAATTAGAAATTCACGTTCCGCGTATGATATAGCGTTTTCACATTTAATTTTACTTACGTGCTTTTAAAAATCATCTCTGGGTTTATCTGCAACGATATAGAACATGTAGAATGATCGATGTGTCATGTTGAACTTAATTTTACAAGAGCGAAAATTATTCGCGTTAGTTGTAGCTCGACATGGCATATTAGGTACAATTGGATGTGTGGGCAACGTTAAACGTTAAATCGTTCCGCTAATCGTCACGATAGGAGACGATGTGACAAGATTACTCGCCCACGACTGTGTGTTTCCTGTAAGACCGACGAAAACACGCGTATTACATGCGCGTGTTCTCGTCGGTCATAACTGCGGATTAAATAATAATGAAAATGATTAAGCAACGTAATGTGACGAATTCAAATTCAAGTCCCCGATAATTGTTTGCAACATAATTATTTCTCTCATAATTCAAACTAGCGATAATAACCAATTATTATCGTCAATTCGCGTCAGATCGCGGTCAGATAAAGATATATCCATCGACAAAAAGAAGAAGAAACGTTATCTCCTCTTGCGCTATATTTTGAAAGTTTATAAATCGCAGCGACCAACCACGACGGATGAACAGATGAACAGGTGCATTAAATCAGCCATGCGTTTATAACTTACTAATAAACGTCTTAGGTGCAACCACGAGATTTCTCTTGCACTGAGAACGTTTACCATATTTTTAACACGATGGTGTTAATAATAAATATGAAAATCGAATGTCGTGGATAATCATAAAAATAACCATATAATCATATATAACTATAAAAAGTCAAAAAGTTCATCTTTAATTTCTATCATTGACATACATTTTAATACATCTTTAATACATTTACTTTAATACATACATAGTATGTATTAAATTTTGAGATATTGATTAATATAACAAATTATTCATTTTTCTAAGAAATAGCTTTAATTTCAATCTTAATCTTTTATATTTCTCTCGTTTCTAGAAATAAAAACAGAGAAGAGGAAATAGAAATAAAAAATTTTTCATTTCTGGTACCTACTGTTTCATGACAGATTTTTCATGACACATCACAGATTTGCGATAAATCCGTATTAAATGTTTTGTCAAGTACGTTTTATCGCTTCAACTTTACTCACTCACGAATATCTTATCAAAGAGGAACATAGTGTTGTGCCCGCGCGAGTCTTCTGCGGCCGTTTGGAGTAGAAGCGAAGCGGTTTTAGCGGTTGTTTACGAAGTACGGCGGTGACTCGTGGCGTACAGACGTGTGTCCGCAAAATTCTTGTTGTTGATTAGTTTGAATAAAGCCTACATACGTATTTTATTAAACGGCGTTGTTTACTGCCGAGCGCGGCTTTCTCGCGGAACGCGCGTTAAGAGAGCGTCAGCGGACCGCCGCGGACGTAATAATATGTTTGTTTGGAGTTTATATTACGATCTCTTTACACATCTTTATCGCTATATACACAACCCTAATGAATCCGCTGTCCGGTAAACAATAAAATTGTTTCATTCTCATAATTGCATGAACTAGCACGTTAACAGTTTAAATCACCAACTTTCGTGTCGACAAATGATCCATGTATTTCATATTAATAATGTGATTTCCGCGAAAATTATAAACTGTATATACATTGAGAGAATTTCACGTGTCATTTCCACGTTTCCATTTTCATGCTATTCGCTACCAAAGCCTATAAATATTATAATCTGAAATGATCAGATTTTTGATTACAGCTATTTAATATATCCCAAGCTAATTGAATCAAAATTGAGTGAAAAAAGGTCACTTGGCAGAATGTATATACAGTTGTATATACACTGTGACAGAGAGGGAGAGAGAGAATTTCGAGATAATTTTTAATACGCAACACTTTAATAAAACAATAATTTTCTTCTTATAAATATATTTGAATTAATATATTTTCTCGATTCTTGAGAAACGCAATTTGACTTGAGAAACATATATTTGACATTCCTAACTCACGGTCTAAGAAATAAAACGGTCGAATAATCTCTTCCTCTCCAGAAGAGGGTTAATCATAGAAAGGGAACACGAAAAAATTTCTCTGAACCCGTCATTCAACAGGTAAACATTCCGAGGAATGTACTCTCTTGCTTGGACACCTCTCTTTCTCTCCCTAAATCTAAATGCCTCTTTCAGGAAGCGCTCATCGAAATG